CAGGAAATCAAAAGCTGAATTGCATTGGGAAAATTTGCTGTTCATGGACCTCTCCAGAGTGCTGAAGAGCAATGATGACAGACTAGATACACAGGTGTGCTTAATCCAGGTCATGGTCTTCTCAATTACTTGTTATGCTTCAGAGAATTAGAGCATAAGGATAAATAAGGATGACAGAAGAATAGATGCCTTTGGGTTGTGGTACTGGAGAAGAGTCCTGAACATACCATGTACTGCCAAGAAAACAAATCAGTCTGTCTTGGAGAGGGTGAAACCAAGTCTTTCCTTGGAGAACTTTGAAGCTCTGCCTCACTTTCTTTGGGCAAGTGGCCAGGAGAGATCTGTCCTTGAAGGAAGACATCATTCTTAGAAGGGTGGATGGACAGCGCAGAAGAAGAGGACCGTGGATGAGATGCATTTATACAGTAACTGGAGTGATGGGGGTTGGTGGGTCAGAGTTAGTGAGATTAGCTTAGGACAGGGAAGTGTTCAGAGCTGCTGTACATAGGGTTGCTATACATCGCAGGTGACTCAATGGCACATAACAATGATAACATACTATGACAGTTTTGGAAGCAGGAGTGGCATCCACTTCCTAAATAACATGCCTCCGGAAACTCTATGAACTTTGATAAATGTTGATAGTTGTAGAGGAACTTCAGGCCTTTTGTTCATAGGGTTGCTATGAGTTGTGCTAGACTTGAAGGCAATCAATAACAACAAGAACAACAACAACAACAACCATAAACAAGCTGTATTTTTGTTATTCTAGATTCTATTTAAATGCCCTTACATTTGCATATCTGGCTTTGCACAGTGTAATTGTCCTCGTTAGGTGCCAATGAGTCAATAATGACCCTGTGAACAATAGAACCTCATGCAATCAGGTCTCACAATCAATGCTCAAACCAATAGCTGTAGTCACTGTGTCAATCCACCTCCTTGAGGGTCTCTCTCTCTTTCACTGACCCTCTATCTTTCCATCATGCTATCTTTTCTGAAGACTGGCCCCTCGGACAACATTCTTAAAGAAAGTATTTTGTTCTAATGAGAAATTCTGGTAGAAAGAGAGATCTTGGCTACGTGTCACACATGAGAGAATATACAGTGTTGTGCAAATGTGACTTTCTGACCACAATATCAAATGAATTAAGAATATTGATTGATAATTTCCAAGGGTGGTGCAGAAAAACTGTCCCATAGTGGGTGGAAATGAGGAGGGGCTGGGGAACTGTGTCACCTGTGGCCAGAAGGATGATGCGTTTGTGTGCAAGAGTCATCAGAGGCTGACCTGTGGATGTTACACTTCCTCTAGGATTAAAGGACAGTTTGTGCCTCCTGTCTTTCCAAGTTCTTTAGCTTTCTCATATTATTTAATGCTCGGAATGTAACGGAAACTTCAGGTACCAGAAAAGCTTAGTGCCAACAAAGATCAGTCACACCTCCCTGAATATCATCTGAATGTATTATAACTTACTAAAATCACATTACTTCAGACTGGAGGAGAACCAGTAATAAATATAAATTACAAGGTATTTGAAGACACTTAAAATTAAGATCCTTTCCCACCTCCTACAGAAGTCCTTATTGGAAGCAAGCAATCAGTAATCTCTGACTCATAATGACCACTTGACCTTTCTGCGTGTCATACTTGCACAGGGGCCATGCTAATCTCGGTATTGTTCCAATTTTAGTTTGTGTACTGCCGAAGTGAGCACCACTTGACCCTTCTGAGAACTCTCACAATGCCAGTAGCTTGTACTGTAGTCACTGGCACTTGGTAGTTTTAACTGTCAAGGTCTATGTAATATTTTTTCCTCAGAAAATTTTCTTTTCTCTCTCATTTGAAGAAAAGGATTCCATTTTAGTATCATCTTTATTCCCAAAGCACATAATTGATACCTCAGACATCTTTATGTAATGATTGTATTTTTGCATAAAATACTGTGCTGGAGAGAACTTTTGTTGTTGGGCTTTTTGAAATAATATCCATGTAAGTAGAATCTTAATGTCTGAGACTTGTTGTTGTTAGGTGCTGTTAAGTACAATTAATAGCAACTCTATGAACAACAGATCTGAACCCTGACCTATCCTGTGCCAACCTCACTATCTCTGACACTCATGAGCACATTTCTGAAGTCACCATGTCAATTCACCTGGTTAGCCTTATTACTGGAAATGTCTTACTAAAGGAACCCTAGCAGTACAGGGGGCTATGTGCTGGGCTGCAAACTGAAAGTCTGGTATTTTGAGTCTGTCAATACTTGAGAGGTAGAAAGACAAAACAATCCATTCCTTCCTGTGAAAATTTGTTGTTATGTGCCGTCGAGTCACCTGCAACTCACAGCAACCCTTTGTACTACAGCCCTAAACCTTGCTCTATCCTGTACCAATCTTATTGTCTCTTACATACTTAACCCCATTACCCCAGTCACTGAATCAATCCATCTCTTTGAGGATCTTCCTCTCTTGCACTGTCCCTCCACCCTCCCAAG